TTTAGATCAGAGTACTCTCTATTTTGTAGAGACTTGAAATCGGTTTCGTTAAATCGACAAGCGTCGAAATATCGCTTGTTTAAACATACAAGTTAGCATACAATAACTGGTATCGAAGCGAACAGCATCGATGAGGTCGATTCTAATTTGGTTCTAATGAATATGAAATAATTCCGCTAACTAATGCATGAATTCTTTACAAACATACCTTTGTACGTAAACGCACCGCGAGAGCTCTATTCCGACTTGTCGCGATGACCGACCGACCGACAGACTGCTCGCCCCTCATTATGGATGAAATTTAGACGACTTAATATTGTCGATATGAAATAATACACGTGTTTGCTTACGTCACAGTTCGACCTATAAACGTTTATATGTGCAACTGATACGCGTGCATAACGTATTCCGCTTATTACAGATAACAGACTAATATTGCATACGATACCAATAAATTAACAACAATATCGAATCAACAGCATGAGGATATTTCCAATCGCATACTTGCGTGAAGGACAACGGTAATACGCAATTTTCCCCCTTCATCTTCGTCGATTCGAAATACCGCTGAAAAGCTACCACGGCTCAAACTCGTGGCCGACGTCCGGGCGACGTCGATCGCAAAGTCCCTGACGCGACACGCGCGTATTTGTTTTCTAATCGAGGCACGTTTCATAGATTCAATAAGAGACCGACCTGATTTTTCCGTCCGTGATGTCATCGAGGTTACTTTCGATCCCGTCGCATCTCGCGATCGGACTGGCAAAGTACCGTTCGGGCGAAAGTGCCTATCGGCAAAACGAGCGTCGTCCGACCGGTCTAATGCTTTCTTCGCGGGAGTTCCAAACCTTCCACGAGGATCATTTCTCACGTGAATAACGATTCAACGTATCTTTGGAAGTTTTCGCATGGGCTAAATTTGACGTCTGAATTGTCGTCGATTGCCAAAGAAACGCGACCCGATTTTCGCTACGCGATTCTCTAAGACGAGCAATCGCTTTAATGAGATAAATTTATCCGATATGAAAACTCACGGGCGCGCGAGAATGATTAAAGTGCAATGAACGGTGATACAACGAGCGGCGAGCGCGTACTAATTGTAACGAGAAATTAACGCGCGACTACGTAGGAATAATTAACGGCGCGTACGCAACGTTCATCCCGCGTGATGTCGCGAATAACACCGGCGAATAAAACAAAACGTTTGTTATCGCGCATGCGGCCCAGCGAGCGGGTTGCGAAAATCTGCGGACAGCGACGGCTCGGCCGGGAGATATTTTGCGACGGCAAATCATCGGGATTTCGGGCGCAATTCATCATGGATTTTCTGAATGGGAGAAAAAAGAGAAACAAAAGAAAATGTTATTCCCGCTAGCGAGAACGGCGATCGCAGGGGGGGGGGGGGGTTCGATAGAACTCGNATTGGAGAACTCGTCGGCTCGCACGGATACTTTTAACTCGAAACAAACTTTTCACGCCCGGTTCCCTTTGCGCGCGAGCTACCCCAATTTCGCTCTTAATTCTCGCGGGCTCGTCGGAAATTTCGCCGAACGCAAGTCGAAATCTCGCATCGATTTCCCGATACCGGGCGGCGGCGATTCTAACGTTTACCGCTTCTCCCGCGCGAAGAAGGACTGCGAATATAAATCGAAGACGTTCTCCTGAAGTTCGAAGCGCGCAACGCGAAACAAATGGCGTTTCATTGTCACGTAATTGATGCACGGTTTCCCCTCGAAGTCGCCTTAAGTGGTCGTTACATTATAGATTCATCCGACCACGTTATTACGAGCGATAAAACTTAGAAGGCGGGAGGAAGCAACGTTGTCGTCGTCGTAGTTCGTCATCGCCGTCGCGTGAGAGCACATCTGTGCGACACACCGCGCCGTACCGAGAAAGTAGCCGCCGTTAGTACCGGAATTAGCGGCCTTCACGGGGACACGCATCTTCCTCGTGCAGCCGGTGGTTTAATAATCTCGTAAGGGTAACCTATTCCAAGCTTGTAATTAAAATGTCCATTAAGACACACCGGAGATATACCGACGGGACTTTGATCCACGGTGATAAAATCATGTTTTCCCTGTATTTTTATATCCGCTACCTATCTATAATTTGCTGAAGATACTCGCGACGCACAACTTTCACGGTGTGTGTTGGTGAGATTTCGAGTCAATCTCTCTCTCTCTCTCTTCCTTTGAATTCTCAAAGCGATCGACGAGACGGGAAAAGTCCCGAGGGTATTCGGAGAGATATCAAAGAAATTCTAAAGAGACGAGGGCGGATTTAATACGCGACGTGTTTCGATCGGAATTAATTGATTGCTCGCAAACACAAGCAGCTACACCGCCCGATTCGGCCGCGCTGAAGGCTAATAACCCGTGCGCACGACATAATGCCACAACGATTTTCCTGTTTGGCCGTTGAGCGAGCCCGAGGTGCACGGAGAATGCGATCGCATTCTTTTTAATCCGTAGGTCAGGCGTGGCGATATCGATAACCACGTTCTCATTCAGAAATATCGTATCGGCGTTGCGTATCGTACCGTAGTTGCACACGAATCGCGAAGTAAACAATGGCGAGAAAAATAAAGTAGAAATAAGCCCCCGTCATTGAAGCGGCGATCTCTTAATTAACGCGATAGCGACCGTGACGTTCAAAGACCCGCAATGAAGAAGAGGAAGAGAGGACGAAAATGAAAACACTTCCACAAACGAGACGTGAAGAATGAAAATTTGCGACATCCAGCGATCGCGAATCGCTGCAAAATGCGTCTTCGCAGCCGTTACTACGTAACGTACGTTTTATTCTTGTTCGATCAAACCGATCAACCAGATGACGCCGAGATCTCTAACGAGCACCAGCATCCGGTATAAATGTCGCGCTCCCACGGGTACGCTTTAATTATCCAAAATTGACGTCATATCGGAAAATATTCGCAGTTTTCTTCCGTACATACACACGTATACGTTGCGCGTGTCGCCCGCTGACACCGATTGTCAGTTCGTGAACGTGGAATCACGATAATCGGCTTTTAATATATTGTCAGTTCGCGTGCCGGCGCTTCGTCGTTTCCGCGCCTTCGCGTTCTCTCTTACGTCATCAACGAGCCAGTTTAACGAGTGGAGCACGGCGCGCACGTATGTAAAATCCGAGTCCTTCCTTTCCTCCACCTGTGCTCGCACACTTTGCACACCTCGTCCGACGTTCCGTTCCGACGTGCCGGCCGAACGTTTACACCCCAACGAGTCTAGGTCAGGAACGTTGATGACGACAGCTACCTCCAACGTCTGACCTTAGCTCTAATTTTAAATATCTCGCGGGGGTTGACTTACGATGCGGCACGGCCGGTCGGACTAGTTCGCGAAAATCGACGCTCTTCGCGCGCAGCCGCGCGGTTCCGCGCCTGCAGAGACACGCCGTCATGACGACGTAATTAACACGGTTTTCGTAGAATTAAAGAAATAGGTGGTCGGTCCTCTTCTCTCTCTCTCTCTCTCTCTTTTATCTTTCTCTTTTTACGGAGGTTCTACGTTACAAATTGCGCGCGGTGTCAGTCACGTGTGAAACTCAGAGGCCGCGAGGTAACCCGTGCTTCTTCAAAATATTTTGCTGTTTTCTCCCCCGAAGTGCGCACACAATGCCGCGATACCGAAAGAATTATTGTCATCGGACGAGCTTCGAGGCTTTTTCCCACCACCTTTCCGGGCTCGTTGCGCCGCGTGTATTCCCGTCATTCGATTCCGTAGTTCAGAGCGCGTAGTCGGTGCGCACGAGTAACCGGCGCATCTGTGTATTTATTTTCATTGTCAAGTAGAGAGGCCCGTTACGTAACGCAGCGTGTCTTTGGAACGCAGTAGTAGTTACATGATATCGCCGGAGCGCGCGTATTATCTCTACCGAGGAAATACCTCGGCGCAAACTTTCCTATAACTCGATTTCGCGCGCGTATGGGCGTGACGACATGGAAACAGCTGCGAAATTCGTCGTCGTGAATTTGTTGTTACGAGGGTCCGCCGAAATAAAGATGAAGACGAAGTGAACCTCTGCATATATATATATATATATATCTATATATTCATTGCGCGCACGCTTCGTTCCGGGTCAGATCTTCATTGTATCCTCGCGCGCCAACTTTTCTTCTTATATCGAATCCTGCGAAATGGGCTCGCGTAAGGTATTTCCGCGGAGGTGTTTCCGCAGCATCCACCTCTCACGCGCGCGCGCGAGAGAGAGAGAGAAAGAGAGAAACGTCAATGACCGCAAAAATTTACGTCTATTCGAGCTCGCCGCGTGTTTCGAGATTGTGCAACGGAGATGAAAGACGGGTGACGACGAAACGTATCGTTGATCCCGGGGTTTGTTCTCCGAACCGCGTCTTTCTCTCTCTCTCTCTCTCTCTCGGTCTTTCTCATCCCTCAACGCGATTTATTTGCATTACGTACTCGGTAATACGTGCTCCGGGAAATTTCAGTTTGGACCGCAGTATATTAATGGAAGTAATATTTCGAGTTAGCGTGTGTATTTACGCACTCGCTATATAAACGTCGCGCCGCGCGTATAAACCCACATATATAGAACTCTCTCCACGGCAAATATACTTAAGGCGGAGCACGAGACGGGAATAAATGTCGGAGTGACATAACGCTTATCCAACGTGGTCAAGATTACTTTTTTTCCCACAACGCGGTCAAGATTACACGCACAGCTGGATAGCCGGCTAGTTATCTGGCTAACTAACTGACTAACTCTCTCTCTTCGGTAAACTTGGTAATCAACGCTCTTTGAACCATCGTACCTCCGAAACACCACCTCTCTAGCTTTCTCTCTTTCTTCCTCGGACTTTCTTTCAACCGGCTCATAATCATTCGTACAATGCGACAGCCTTGCCGCTTTACCTGGAATATCAATTGATCTACCATCACGCAAAACCGCAGAGGGTCAAACTACAAAAGCACGATGCGCCTTTAATCAACCTCTACCTCCTCCTTTTCTTTCACCCTCACCTCGTGCGGCTGAACGACGACGTCTCTCACTCTCTCCGCGAGGCTCTCGCTCGCTTTGACGAGCTCGGTCTCCGTGTGTTCCTCCACCAGCATCTGCGAGTGTCTTCTCCCCTGCACATCGGTCGCCAGCTCCTGGTAACAAGACTCCCCGGAGCCGCGTCGGCTGCCCGCGATGCACATGGCACGACGGAACAAGCCGGCGACGACGGCGCACAGGCCGCACTGCATCCCCGTGGCGCTGCCACGGCTGGAAAGCGAGTCGCCATTGGGTCGGCGGCGGGTCCGAGTCCCGCGGGAGCCGCTGTCACGTGCTTGGGCCGCCAGTTTCGCGCCTTCGTCTCTGCCTCGTTGCGCTGTGCACCTCTCTCTCTCGCTCACGATGTCGCGGGAATCGCGTCGCACGCTTTCTTCTCTTCTTTTTCTTCTTCTTCTTCCTCCTCGCCCTCTGCCTCGTCTTCTACTTCTATTCTTCCACCTCCACTTCCTCCTCTTCCTTCCTTCTCCGCCGCCACCTTTGCTCCTTCCTCTTCCTTTCGCGCGCTACCTCCTCCTCACGTCATCGCGTCCCCTCCGACGCACACTAACCCCGCGCACGCACTCTCTATTTCGCACCACCCTCGCACGACGACTCACGTCGCCGCGACTGGCGGCGGCCGGCCGCTCGACGCCTGTGGCCGCGTTTTACTCTATCTCCAACGGAGATCCGCACTCTCAACGACGTGGCCGCGCACTGCCGGCACTGCGCGTCACCTGTACGACGGAGCCGGTGGAAAGAGGATCGTTGAGGCTCGACCGAGAGGTCGGGAAAACGCGAGCGCGATAGGAAGCGACAGATAGAGCGAGAGAATGAGATAGGGGGAGAGAAAGAGAGAGGAGGGGAAAGAGTACGGTATATTTCACACTTTGGGATCAAAGTCCCTTTAAAGGGTACTTGCATAACTTCAGAATGTGCGATGCTCACGTGTATGTGTGTGTAAACAAATTTCAAATTTGGGATATATGATGCGTAGAGACCGATTGGTGGTATGAAAGTTTTCAGAACAATATAAGAAGATGAAAAAGAAAGAAAGAAAGAGAGAGAGAGAGAGGGAGGGAAGGTAGAAGTTTACCGAATCGACGAGAAATTATAACGTGAAATATCTGAATCGAATATGATAGAAAAGAGAACAAAGCAAAAGTTGAGAGATTTAAAGTAGAAAAATAACAAAGTAAGATTGCTTCGCGACGAAGTAAGTGAAGGAGAAAGCGGCGTCGATTCGCTTTATTCCTGAAGAAGAATCAGAATACACGAGAGGATGTCACAAACGAGAGCTGTAATGAATGTCCGTAGAATATCGTAACGATGATAAGCGCAAATCATTCATTCCTCGAGGTACTGGATGTCTCTCGATGACTCTCTCAACGGATGCGCCGCAAAATTGCTCTGTAAGTCGTGAACGATCTCCGAGGAAAAGGATGACACAACAGAAGTGCGAGGAGAGAGTAGAGTACAGTAGAGCAGAAAGAGAGAAAGAGAGAGAGAAAGAAAGACAGAGATTATATCAATCAGCTCGAAAGCTTTTTAATGAGCTCAAAAGAGATACGTCTAGGAGATGACGGAATTCGATACGCGTGCGACTTGAGAAATTCGATGGGTGGCAAACGAGAGCGAAGCGAATTGCGCTACGTTGTGCCGATGCAAATGGCGAGAGACTATCCGTTATCACGTGGAGGCGACTGTGTACGTCGCGCTGAATTTTAATCAGGCAACACGCCGGCGAGAACTTTTCGCGTTAATGCTCGCGAACAAAGTTGCGCGACGCGCGCCGTCGCTTGTAACACGCGCCAAAATGATTTCTCGTCGGCTAACGCGGCGAACGTATGTAACGTTTAATCTTCACACTTCGCATACCGAGTGTTTCGCGTTGTCTTCAAAAGCGAGGACAGAGATCGAATGCACGGAGAGAGAGCGCGAATAACAACGAAAACGGAAAATGATTCTTTCTTATGTGCCTGTCACAGTCCGTGTCGGTTCTAATAGAACTCACAATGAGTACGATTACGTCGTCGGGAATAAATCACGAACATTTATGTGGAATTGCGAAATATTATATCATTACGTTATATCCGCGAGTAAACGCGAGTGAGACGATAAATCGCGGATAGAGTGAAGCAATGTCGCGAGAGATCTTTGAGAAACGTACGAAATAACAGGCTGACGCGTAAACACGGAGCGGCTTAATTAATGATCGCTGTGGGGGAAAATCGATGGGATCGCTCGAGACGCCGGTTGCAAATATGGGCACACGATAACGCGGAGTAAATCGCAATCGGGCGATCATAATATCGGCGTGGGACCGACGTGAGCAAAACAATAATTCTCTTTAACGGGCGACGACTCCCGCCCTGACTTCGTCATCAGTTTTCCGCGCATTATTAAGAAGGGTTCGGCGGTGCTTTACGCGATCCTCTTCCGTCCTCGATAAGATAGGAGAGAACCTACCGAGTCGGACCGAGCGCGTCCTGTAATCGAGGGGAAATAAAAGAGAGAACACAAGGGGCACCTGTCCCGTCCGTTCTCTCTTTGTCTTCGCCGACCTCGACGACTCTTCCACGGTGCGCGGAGGAGGAACCTTTCTCATCTTACGGGACAATAATTACGGAAACGTGACGCTTTCTCGACGCGAGCGCGCGTGGCATCGCGACGAGTGATTTTCGCGAGCGTGCTCGATGGTTTCTCTCTCTCTCTCTCTCTCTCCTTTTATCTATCTCTTTCGCATACCGTACAGCGTGACATTATCGCGCAACAAGACAATCAAAATGGAATCCCCACGTTTGCTCCATTAACGAACGCTTTCTCTCTCGCATTATCTGTCTCTCTCTCTTTCTCCCATTGTTCACGATTAACTCCCACTCCCATAACTACGCCTCGCATAAACGCGAGCGACTGTAGCGCAATTTCGCGAACAACTATGCGAAGAACGAGCGTGAATCGTGAAGAACTGTTCGCGGGCTCGTCGACGATCGAACCGGCGAATTCTCGAGGGAGTATCTCTCTCTATCTCTCTCGCCCACCCCCGAGAAAACGTTCTTTAATCCGCCGCTTCGCAATGCCATCTCGGCATCGGTACTCAACGACGTTCGCTATTTCCCTTCCTCGCTCTATCCTCCCACCCTCCCGCCGCACGCACTCGAAATTCATCTCTCTCTCGCTTCCTGTTCCGCGGGAAAATATACCTTCGTCGATTCGAGGAGGCACCACTGCCTCTCGTCGCGCGGCGACGACGACGACTCGCCACGACTACCACCACGCGAGACCGACTGCCGAGGGGTAACGCCCGTGCGGGAGAGATCGCGGCCGACTCGTCTCCGGGACGAGCTCGCGAGCTCCATGACCGCGTGGCTTCCCGGGGTCGGTTCGGGTGGAAACGGGGGGCGACCGGGCCCTGAGGCCCGGCGCCGTTCGGTGCACAAGCACGACGGTACGCGTACGTGTCCGTCTGGTCGGAGATCCGGTCGCTCGCGAATAGCCACGCGACTCGACGACACTCGACGACGCGCGTAGAGAGTGCTCGGCCTCCGGGGAGCGCAGTGCCGTTATCAGCGACTGTGCACGCCGGCCGGCCGCTGTGCACGCACTGAAGTACTGGACCCGAGCGTCGAGCGGAGAAAAAGAGAGGTACACCGCGGGTAAGAGCAAGAGAGGACTCGGTCGACGCTCGCGACCTCGGTCGCGCTCGGCCGCCTCCGTGCCCTCCGCTTCGGCCCCGTTCGGCAGCCACGCTGCTTCCCGGCGATTTCTCTCCCTCGGCCTCCACCTCCACCGTCGCCGCCGATATACACGACAAGGGCTACCAACGAGAGAGGCTCTCACTACGCCGCGAGCTCTCGCCGCGAGAAGCCGGTGCTCACCGCCTCCACCTCCGTTGTCGACAGGCGGAGAGGGAGAGAAGCAGCGCGCGAGGAGAGAGGATCAATAACAGATCCCTCCCTACCCTCGCGAGGACGCGACGTACGCACGCATTTACACACGGACGGACGAGCGGGCGTGCCCCGCAAATTTCTACAGCCCGTTTTCCCCGGGGCGGATTCACCCTGTGTGCGATACGATTTCGGCGGTCGTAAGGCAGGTGTAAACGCATACGCCCGTCTATCGATCTTGAGGGGATTTTAAGGGCGCCGGCTCTCAACGTCGTTCAAGGAGAGACTCGAGATTGCCTCTTGCCGAATTTATACGGAGGAGCAGAGCTGCCGAGTATCGCGACGTGATTGACGTTTATCACGTTCGTATATGTGCGAAATCCTATAATAGTAATAAATGTTGTAATACACGTCTATCAGATTTTTTTCGTAAATATCGATGGAACGTTCGTAAATATCAGAAGGAGGCCGTGTTTGTGGCGCAAAATGGAGCAGGCGTTCGAGAAATGGGATAAATCGTCCAGCCGATGAACAGGTGAGCCGATGGGTAACTTCCGGAATGGACAGGAATCTATCCGAAGTACGGCGGGTGAAACGGACCGAATATATAACACACGTCAAGGAATACCGTCTGCTGAAAATATCTCTGTCGCGTACTCACGTTCCGGGGAGTTGCGCGAAAGACGTTAACTTTACATAAGAGATGTTTCATTTAACCGTCAGCATGTCCACTACCGTGGGAACTTTTATAGACTCGGTTGCGTAAAAAATGTGGCTGTTATTAATAGTAAAATATAAAAGAGCCGTTACACACACATACACATAATGGCCGTTAAAATAGAATAATTATGAAAATATTGGAAGATAACCAAGATTACGACCTTTCGATTCTAATGAATTTTCCTGTAAATACCATTTAATCAAATTTGTGACTATGATTCGAAAAAAAGAATTTGAGAATGACAGAGGCATTGATGAATAATAATAATCGCTAGAAGCTCGGGTAATGTGTCGCGTCAATAAAAATGGGAAGGAAAAACGACCGTACTAATTCGCACGACCGCGGGAATGAACATTCATTTTTCCATAAGTGGTCGTTTATTGACGTTCCGCTTTATGCTTTTAACAGCGGGTGCATGAGTACGCTCAATTTTGAAATTAACATGCACGTGTGCCAATGTGGCAAAACAACCGGGAACCCACAGAGCCTAATAATCGCACTATAATTATTACGAGAGACCTACCTCTTATTAACGGTAACGGGCTACGAATTATCGATTTATAGGTGTTCTAGCGATTAACCTATCGCACTCAGAAAAATGTATTTTTAAAGTAGGTAATAGGGGTCACGCCGACATTTTCATAGTTGACCGAGCCGTCAAAAATACGTAGTAACGGTGCGAGTAACGTTAACGCGAGCTCCAAAGGATACACATTACTCAATCAAGTAACAAGTCTCTCGGTTTTGCTCGTCCTCATTTGCTGGCTGTTTCAACGCAGATAGAGCGACACGACGCCGCTTTGAATGAATTTTCACTCGTTTTGAGTAAGACTTCATCATAAAAAATTTGAAGTGTATCAAAATAGCGCGCAATTTCACTCGATTATCAATATCGGACATTAAACCGAGACAAGTATGTTTTACTGGGTCGAGTCGTAAATAATTATCTACGAAGACGGCAAATATGAATTTTTTGAACACACTTACGAAACAAGTCGATAAGCTGTCTTCGCCAGTTGGAAGCGCGAGTGTGTCGTTCTATTAATAACAACGAATAAACATATCAGCAGCTAGCGCTTCATCGTAAAATATTTCGCGCGCGCGCGCGAAGATAAATCTTAAAGAAACAAAGAGAGAGAAAAACAGTAGTTATCCACGAATAATTCCCCTCCCGATTCGGACACACGGTCTATCTATCCCTCAATATCTCCTCTCTTTCGAGATCGATAAAAAGATCACGGTCGCGGTCCTCAAATTATTTATTACTTGACAACGGAGAGCAGCGTCGTTTTTATCAAGGAACGACGCGAGAATTCGTCAAGGGTGCGAATCCACGATTGGAACCGGATCACGTCACACGTGCGCACGTCCGCCTCGTGCCTCTCAACCTCGTCCTGCCGAGGCTAGTTCTCTCTCTTCCATCCGCCCTCGCGAATAACCGTGAGAGATGCGCGCGAGAAGGCGAGGGGGAGGAGGGAGTCAAGGTGAGATTCCCGCTGGGACAATCGACGATGGGGGAAATAACGGTGCGTTTTCAGCGCACCCTCCACCCCGAGGGAGAGAATGGAGCTGTATTAAAGCGCGATTGCCCTTGCAGCTATAAGAAGACTCGACCCATGTCCTCTCCCTTACGTGTACCAGCTGCAATTGGTCGCGCTATTGAAATACCACGTTTTCTTTCTTTCTCGCTCTTTCCCGTCGTAATTCCTCCCGCGATGCACCACGAGACGCCTCCCTCCTCCCGCAGCTCGAGGCCTTGAAGACGATTGTAATGTGTTCGGGGAATTACGTCGGTTAATCGCCGATCATCGACAGTTCTTCGTCTCCGATTCTTCTTCTGTCCGTCTGAAATGTTCTCGGACGTCTCTGGCACTTTTAAAAGATCTCGCACATACCGACATCGATATCGAGCAATCGTCGAACAGTGGCAATTCCATGCATAATATGGCAACGTAATCCACTTCCTCCAGACGCATTGTCCCATTTCCCGAACGACGATTGCGCGTGATAACGCGCAATTTTCAGCATAAGTTACGCGGAAGTTGAGTAATCATTGGCCGATAGGAAGTGGACCGAAGGATCGCGGAACAAAAGAGGGGAAAAAAAAGGAAAAGAGAAGTTATTTCGTGCGGATCACGTGTCGCAATTTCAGGTCCACCGCGAAGCGTGCACACACGCACCGCTCGCATGCGGAACGACAACGTTTTTCCGATTTAGCTCATGACCGGCGGCGCGCTTTATCATCGCGGATCGGATCACGCGGCAAATTATTGGTTCTGTCCGATGCGGTGACGAAGGAGAAAAGAAAAGATGTTATTGCCGTAAATTACAGTCATTCTCTACTGCGTTTCTTTCGATATTACAATTACCAATCAGAACGAGGAAGAGAAAAAGATAAAGAGAAAAAAGAGCGTCATTGTTGCGTGAAACGTTTGAAAATTTCAAGCGGAAATTCGCTCCCGTGGGACAGACGTCCGCTGAGAAACCTGCACGATTACGTCCTCGTCAGGGTAGCACGTGACACAAATTTTTCACGACGGCTGACAATGTGCCGAAACTGCGGACTTCGATGCATGACTACATACTTTTACACGAGAGTATATAAATATCCCACTGGGATTAGTTTTACATGATAGTCATCGAGGCTTCTCCGGCCAGCCGACGAGAGATCTTCGTCGTAAGGAGCGGTGAACATTGTTCATTGCGTTTTTCCAATTTTAACATTAATGTTCATTTTATCGGCGGCGAGTATATCGTGATAGGTGTATATAATCCGCGGATATTATATATATATATATATATGTGTAAGCTTCCGGAACAAAAGCGACAACGTTACAGAAGTTACATCAGGGTTTCGCATGTCTATAATGGTTTACATAACTATTTATAAACGCACGACCGGCGGACTTGTTTGCGCTTCGCTGCTGTGCGTATGTATACGTGTATACGTGCGTAGCGCCTCGAGAAAAATAACTTTCGGTGGTGTATTTTATAATTTTGCTCGACATCACGGGTAACGTCGTGCTACAATACAGCTCGCGAAACTTGTTTGCGGCTTGCACACACATATAGCCCGAAATAAGAAGATACTGCTCAATTCTCTGTCGGTACCGAGTAGTTCTCCCCCGCTCTAACCCTGGAATAAACCGCACGCGTGACGTACGTTACAACCTCACGTTAAATCCAATTCCTCCGGGGACTATTAATTCAACGCGCGCGTCGCTAAAATTACCGCGTCATCACAAGCCAACGCGGCAAATATAGAAATCCGAAAAATTTGAACGTGCGTAATTCGGTGTACGTGAACACGGTAAATTCATAATCGTAACTTTTTTCACAGCATTTTTTTATGCTACGCGATAAAGCCGCCAAATAGTGACAAAAGCTGGACTTCGCATTCAAAGCGATGGGAAATACACATTTAGGGGCTGACGATTTCAAAAATCTCTCGTGTACTCCGTGATCTGCCGGGTTTTATCTAATGAAAAAGAAAAAAAAACAAAAAAAAATAGAAAACCAGAACAGCAGCGAGCTGATGTAAGCGCGGAAATTAAACGCGAATGATGATCCATAAATCTGGGCGTGATCAATAATCCAGTGGTGCGAGTCGCGTCGTTCAATCTCTCTCTCTCTCACTCCTCTCTTTCTCATCAATAACTCCGATGATAACAACGCCGTCCTTCTCGTCCGAAACTCGATATAACGACGCGTACGAACACACAAAGCCGCCGAACTGTAACCAAGATTTCCGCATCATGGCCGTTGTTAATAATTATAATAACAAGAGACCGCCGTTCTCGCTTCCCTGTAAGAGCCAATAACGGTTACTTGTTCGAATGCGCCCGCGGAACTCGTTCGATCGAAACCGAGGATTCGCCGCTGCTGCTTGCAATCGGGGGATGTTCCTCGGATGTTTCGCCAGCCAGTCCCGCTGAAACGTAAATCCTAGGAAACCCGCCGACTGACAACCACTGCGATTTCGTAGCACGAGGCGACTCTCTGCTTGTCGGTCGTCGACCTCGCGACTACAACCACCACCGCCGCCACCACTACCACCCCCATCGCGTCGCGGCGTTCTATC